GGCAGCCTTGCATGGGGGGGGTGCCCAGAAGTGGGAAGGGAAGATTGCAGACTCCCAGCCCATGAGCCTATGTGGGTTGGGAGCTGGCAGCCCTCTTCCCACACCCTGCTCCTGTGCGGGGCTATTTCTGGGTAACAGTTAACTGTTATGGATTATGTTTATCAGGTAACCTTCATATCCCTAATGGAACCATAGTTTCTCACAGCCTCCTTTTGCCAAATAATCCATTACAAATTGTCTATTAAAAATTCTTTGGATTCCTGTAGTGATCGGTTACAGATGGATAAGAGAGGAATGATGTGCCTAGTGGTTAGTGCGGGGCTATTTCTGGGTAACAGTTAACTGTTATGGATTATGTTTATCAGGTAACCTTCATATCCCTAATGGAACCATAGTTTCTCACAGCCTCCTTTTGCCAAATAATCCATTACAAATTGTCTATTAAAAATTCTTTGGATTCCTGTAGTGATCGGTTACAGATGGATAAGAGAGGAATGATGTGCCTAGTGGTTAGAGCAGGAGGACAGCAGGATTGGGTTCTGTCCCTGGCTCAGCCACTGACTCTTATGACACCTTGGTGAAATAACTACACCTCTCTGCACTGCTATAGAATAACAATATTATATGCTACAGAGTATTCTGTAGAATATTCACAGGTCTGTCAAGGAGGTGAATAGTGATGCTTTATTCACCAGGTATCACCGACATAAATGTTTATTTTGAAGTAGGAGGGGTGCAGAGAATGAAAAACCCAGGTGTAAATGGCCATTGATTAAGTTTGCATGCTAATTTGTTGGGAAGTGAGGACAGTGAAGACACCACGTTTCTCTTAAGCTTCACCCACATCATCACCAGAAAAATTATATTGTCCAGAGAGTTCTAAAATTTGCATGGAGACTGACTTGCCTTACTACCTTCTGGGACCAGATACTCCACTTCAGGTTCATGTGTTGTGAAGCTGACATTGCATTAAGGTTTGTGGCATTCCAGCTCTGGGACGGACGGAGGGAGGGAGAGAAGCTGGAACAGTATGCGAATCAGGTGATTTGTGTGTGCTGAAAGTGCTGGGAGTTAGGGGGAGGAGAGCAAGTAAGTGCAGGGCTCTGGTACCCCAGTGGGCAAGAGGCTCATGTGATAGGGGGATAGGCAGGGGGTCAGTGGGCTATGGGCTGCTGTGGCCCATTGAGGTGAAGGAGGGTTTCTCATGCAGCCCACCCACTATATAATTTATGCACCCCAGCCGTGGCCCCACAGAGTTGCAGGACCTCCTCGTTAACCTCCTCCTGGCTATCGCCAAGTCATGCAGCCCACCCACTATTCATGGTTGCTCATCCCTGGTGTAAGCACATATGCAAATATAACCTAGATCTCAAGCGTTGTATAGAGGAATCTGTAAAAGTCTAATCATGTGCTGCTGTTTTATAGTTAACTTCACAGACATTGTAGTGATAAAATTACTAACAAGCAGGAAAGTGAGGAATGAAACCGCACCTATTGCACGAAAAATAAGGCTTGTTGAGTTTTTTACAGTTATTTGAATAAACAGAACAGCAGCAGCCATGGAGGAAGTTTCTTAAATCTACTTTGCAAACCTTCTGTCTTTGCAGAAAAGTTGGAGATGAAAACTGAAGATGAGGTGGATTTTTTGAAAGACCCCAGCGCGCATGCAGTTTCCGAAGAAACTGTGAGTATCGTTGATGCATTTTTAACTTGCATGTTACAAGGCTTTAAAAAGAAAGATCTGTACAGTTGTTGATGATCAGATGAGTTGCTCATTTCCTTGCTGTGAGGGTAAACCTAGGTTGTAAATTGTGGTTTTTCTTTTTAACCTTCTGAAAATGACATTGTCTTTTAGTCCTTTTTTGTTTTTGAAATGGGAGTTTTCAGTCTCTATATAATAGATAACTCAGGTCTGTTGATTCCGCACAGTATGAAGTAGTCCAAAGTTGGAGAGGTGAAAGATTCCTACCTCTCCCCTACAGTATTGTCGTAGCTCATGGTGTAGTTATCACAAAATGATTGTTCATAAATGTGTACTAAAGATGTTAAGAGGCAGGTAATCCACTAATCATGTAGTCAATAACATTTTTATCAACTACATGATTAGTCAATAAGGAAAGGCTTCCTCAGTCCCAAATTGCGCTGAGTCTGGGAGCTACCCACCACTGTGGCTATGCAGTTTAAATGTAGTAAGAGCTGGGCGCACAGGCAGCCTGGCTCGTACTACATTTAAACTGAAGAGCTGCAGCAGGGGGAGCCTCTGGACTCAGCACGACCTCGAGTGAGCCAGCAGATTCTGTTCTGGGGCAGGAAGGGAGTTTGAGTGTATGACGGGTTGTGTCCTGGGGTGGGGGTGCAGAAGGTTTGGGTGCAGGAGGGAGTTGTGTGACCTGGGTTAGAGGACTGAGGTGCCGGAGGAAGTGCTAGGTGCAGGCTCTGGCTTACCACAGATGCTCCCAATCAGCAGTCCAGCTGGACTGATTGAATGGGGGCAAGTGGAGATGGCAGCCTTGCATGTGGGGGGTGCCCAGAAGTGGGAAGGGAAGATTGCAGACTCCCAGCCCATGAGCCTATGTGGGTTGGGAGCTGGCAGCCCTCTTCCCACCCCCTATTCCCGTGCGGGGCTATTTCTGGGTAACAGTTAACTGTTATGGATTATGTTTATCAGGTAACCTTCATATCCCTAATGGAACCATAGTTTCTCACAGCCTCCTTTTGCCAAATAATCCATTACAAATTGTCTATTAAAAATTCTTTGGATTCCTGTAGTGATCAGTTACAGATGGATAAGAGAGGAATGATGTGCCTAGTGGTTAGAGCAGGAGGACAGCAGGATTGGGTTCTGTCCCTGGCTCAGCCACTGACTCTTATGACACCTTGGTGAAATAACTACACCTCTCTGCACTGCTATAGAGTAACAATATTATATGCTACAGAGTATTCTGTAGAATATTCACAGGTCTGTCAAGGAGGTGAATAGTGATGCTTTATTCACCAGGTATCACCGACATAAATGTTTATTTTGAAGTAGGAGGGGTGCAGAGAATGAAAAACCCAGGTGTAAATGGCCATTGATTAAGTTTGCATGCTAATTTGTTGGGAAGTGAGGACAGTGAAGACACCACGTTTCTCTTAAGCTTCACCCACATCATCACCAGAAAAATTATATTGTCCAGAGAGTTCTAAAATTTGCATGGAGACTGACTTGCCTTACTACCTTCTGGGACCAGATCCTCCACTTCAGGTTCATGTGTTGTGAAGCTGACATTGCATTAAGGTTTGTGGCATTCCAGCTCTGGGACGGAGGGAGGGAGAGAAGCTGGAACAGTATGCGAATCAGGTGATTTGTGTATGCTGAAAGTGCTGGGAGGTAGGGGGAGGAGAGCAAGTAAGTGCAGGGCTCTGGGACCCCAGTGGGCAAGAGGCTCATGTGATAGGAGGATAGGCAGGGGGTCAGTGGGCTATGGGCTGCTGTGGCCCATTGAGGTGAAGGAGGGTTTCTCATGCAGCCCACCCACTATTCATGGTTGCTCATCCCTGGTGTAAGCACATATGCAAATATAACCTAGATCTCAAGCGTTGTATAGAGGAATCTGTAAAAGTCTAATCATGTGCTGCTGTTTTATAGTTAACTTCACAGACATTGTAGTGATAAAATTACTAACAAGCAGGAAAGTGAGGAATGAAAGACATTGTAGTGATAAAATTACTAACTAACAAGCAGGAAAGTGAGGAATGAAGTCTGCTGGCTCTCTCTTGACCTTCGAGGGGCTGTGGGCACTGTCCGTGGTTCTCTGCTCGGTGTCCCCCTCTGGTTCCCTCCTTTGACCCTCACACCTTGTCCTTCTTTTCTTTCTTCGTCCCCTGGAATCATTTGGTGTCCAGGGCTCTTTGGATCCTCCTTATAGGCTGGGGGAGGGTCTTTTAGATGTCAGGACTCCAATGGAAAAAAAATTAATAGGTTGACAGTTCCTGGGGGCCCAATCCTGCTGCATTATCCTTTCTGACAACTCATTTCCAGAGTTGAGAGGGGAGAGTCACTCTTTCTGGCTGAACCCTCGTTGTCATAAATGAATAGTCACTGGCTGTTTTGCCAACAAACTGGTGTCCGCTGGGTGATTCTCACATGTGCTGAGAACTATTGCTGAACTGGCTGGGGGTTCTGCTTTAAACAACCCATAAACTCATCAGGTCTTTCTATCAGATACCACAATATTGTGTTAATTTGTAATTTTGTAACAAAGTATCTTTAATGCTTTCAAGACACAATATCTCAGAGGTGGGCAATAATTTTGAAGGGAGAGCACTCTAAGAATTTGGCAAGTGGTCAGGAGTCGCACTTTTCTACTATTAATGGAGGGAGTGCAGGGTCTGGAATGGAGGTTGGGTACAGGAGGGAGCTCTGACTAGGGCATTGGGTTGCAGGAAAGAGT